GAGGTTATTTTACAGGCAGAAGCTGCTACTGGGGACGTCAATGAACCTAACAAGAGGGCATTTTTGCAGTTCCAATCTGGAAGAACAATACCTGCCAGGCAGAACAAAGCAGATGGAGAACTGTTATCGGTGACGCAAGAAGACGATAACGGCATCATGACGGGGACCTTGACTAGCGGTATTTGGTAACTGATGCTACAGGCAAGGTACCTGCTAGTGCACGCACTGAGCACCCGGCTCGTCTCAGCAGCAGCGCTACGGCAACTAAGTTCCTCGCATGTACCACGTCCTAGAGGTGGACAATACAGTAGCCTGGAAGCATGACGGGTACTAAGTTGGTAGCCCAAAGTTCAAGTCAGCACACGCATGTCGGTACATGGACGGAGAGCCATAGGCAGCCATGTGCGCAGCGCGTAGTACATGTACCGATGCATGTTGTGCAGTTGGGCTGCTGTCACTGCGCTTCGGTTTGTGTTAGCTGCCTTTTTTCACGGTACACGGCTTAGTTAGCAGGGCTGCGTCTTACCTTGCCTGAGTAAAGTACTGCGTACCACCTGGTACTGCCTTGCTGCCTCGGGCTCTGGGTCTCCGCTGCGTGTCGAGGTCTTTGACCCAACATGAGCCTCATTGCCTAGGACATCACCTTTGTTTATATACAAAGCATGGAATTTCTTTTCTCTTTAGATGATTTCTTGTCCTTTTTCTTCCTCTCCCTTTCTTTCATTTCTTTCATATTGCATCATTATACCACAGCATCTACTAAGTCATCCATCACCTCCCTCGGTGACTGGGGTCAAATGACGGCACGCTGCCCTTGTGCTCACCCAACCAAAACAGGTACTGTGGAGGTACCGGTACCCTCTCGGCAGGCAGCGCACCGCATGCGGACCTCCTTATCGCTAGCAGTCATCACCTGTGGCTCTGTGAGGCGCTGACCGCCAGCAACCTTAGGCTCTTAGCCAGTGAAGGAGACGCCCACCTGTACTCCAGGCATTCACTAAGTTTTGGTCTATCCAGGTCACCAAACCGACTCATCCGCCCTGTGTCGCCTGACCTCAGCTCTTTCTCCTCTATTCCACTTCATGCCGTCTTTGTTCTTCAATCAGACACCCGCCAGACATTACTCATATCCCGCCATGGTGTAATATTTTTTGGTCCTTCTTTCTTAGTCTTTTTTCTTTGGGCTTATTATTCTCCCCCCCGTTGTATGCAAGGGAGAGCCGCCTTACTCTTTGCTGCCTGTGCAAGCGTCGTTCGTCATCGCCCATCATCCTGCTTTAGAGTTTCATCGCATCTCCGCCCCGACGAAGAAAAAAAGATCAACAAAGCGCCGCAACACTGCTGCAGGTAGCCAGATATCGAGGTGACAGCCGTGCCAACCACTTATCGTGGGGGCGGCGGTAGGTGAAGGGGCACCATGTTTTCCGAGTGTGCGTGATGACATCCGGCCGTATAAGACTGCGTCTGATGAAGCTGCTGCTAACCCGTTTGCCTAGACGCCTCGAGATTTCTCGCGCAGTCTCAGTCGAGGCTGTCCAACTTTGGCCAAGCAGACAACGATAGCTCGTCCCGGCCAAACGACTGGTCATCTCGCCCGACCCGACCCTATCGAGACGCCGGCCGAGGGAATGGGGGCCAGAGATCCCTTCTTGGAAGAGGCTATGGCGGGAACCCATATCAGAACGGTGGAGGAGCAGCCGGTGGTGGCTCGCGCTTCGGCCAGCTTGCATTTGGATCTCGCATAACGGCTGCGCAAGACGCACCTCTGTTTCACAGCACGCTGGATGAATTTCGAGAGGAGGACGACGAAGAGGAGCGCGACAGGGAGGCTGCTGATCTCTTTGCACTCCAGAGGTCACGGAGAGTGGCCGCCGCTAGCAAGCTGGCCGACAGCGTCGAGTCTGACGCAAATAGTCGAGGGTCGCTTGAAGAGAGCTCGAGGCAGTTTGATCATCCATATCGGGCCCAAGGTTTCGGCCGTGGCATCAAAAGCAGTTGGAACGGAACGAGGAGCTCACACCATACCACAGTTGCGAAGAATACGCCACTAGAAGAGGAGGAGGCAGAAGAAGTCGACCATGACAGCAGGGATGGCGAAAGCGACCGCGGCGATGGTAATCATAAGGGGAATATGGTCGATGTCGGGCTTGACTCCCAGGAGGATGCCGACGATGACCCTCCAGAATCGCTTTTAGAAGAGGCAACTGATAACAGCCCCCCGGCTTTCCAACGATTCAAGGACCCGTCTGGACGAACGCCGCTGCTGGAAAGATCCTCAAGAAGCGACACCGACATGGACAGCACGCGACACACAGAGCCTCCAGAGGCCGATCCAGCTCCCTCGGGAACAGCATATATCGAAGGAGAGATATTCAGACACGACCCTTTCTTTGCGTGGATATTCTTAATCTGTCTTGCTGGGATGATGTCGACTTTTGTCCTAGTATGGCTCAACACCTCTCCCAAGAAGAGTCCTGTCGGAGACACTATTTATACGACACTACAAAAATCCTTCAACATGCTTGCCGTCGATACCGTGGTGGCAGTATTAGTGTCATTTGTATGGTTAGCAGCATTGCGGTCCTTTGTTAGGCCTCTCGTTACTGTTATCCTGGTCGCTGTGCCAGCCATTATGTTTTCATTTTCTATTTTCTCTTTCGTGTCGTCTTTCAAGGGGCGGACGCACGGAACAAGCTTTCAAGACACCGTTATGAGATGGACTGCCATCGTCCCGGGTGCCTCATGCGTCTTATGGCTCTGGCTTGTTGTCAAGGGCCGAAGGGCGATTCAGCAGGCCATTGAAATTCTTCAATTTTCCTCCAAGATTCTGGCCCAGAACCCTGGTCTCCTGTTGGTAGGCTTTGGATGCCTGGCCTTGATCGTTGTCTGGACCTGGATTTGGCTGGCCATGTTCACCCGTGTCTTTATGGGTGGTTATTTCTCAAAGTCCTTGGTTCAGTTCGTGATTCGCTTTTCCAGCTGGTGGCTCGGCGCCGCCTTTGTCTTCATGTACATGTGGACACTCTCCGTCATCAACGCGGTACATCGAGCGGCGACGGCAGCGACCGTCTCCCAGTGGTACTTTCATCGCAACGCAGGTCCTGCCACGTCTTCCAAGGAGATTGTCCAGGCTGCTTTGAGCCACGGCGTGACGACAATCTTTGGTAGCATTTGTGAATCAACGCTTCTATCTCTCCTTATCCGGGCTCCGTTGATCTTCCTACCTAGGAGGCTTGGCGCGATCATCACAAACATCGCCTCGTTCTGGATACCCACGCCTATTGTGGCTCTCACAAACCCCCTTACCATTACTTTTGCAGCTATCCACTCACAGGGCCTAGCCACGTCTGCTAGAGGTCTCGATCAAATGGAGTTTGTATCACCTGCAATCCCTACTACAACATTGACACCACGGGCGTTGCGCCTACGCGGCCAGGCGAATGGTCTGATGCCTTACCGGCTGGCCAAGTTGCTCCTGGTCGCCACGCGATTGATTATGGCCACTGGCTTAGGTTTTGCAGGCTGGGTCATTACTGCAAAGCAGCTGCGGATCCAGCTCCCAGACGGTGTGGGCGTACGAGGATCAGCGTATGCATACGTGGTTGGCATGATGGCCAGTTTCATTGGCTATTCGGTTATGGGCGCGATGGAGGGTATTCTTAGCGGAATTGTCGACGCAGTTTTGATATGTTACGGAAGCGAGCGGCGAATGGAGAGAGGCCACGGGCGATTCTGTCTCGAAGCGGCATATCTGTTTGGCGAGCGGCGAGGAAGCGGCGAGGACCTCGGATATGAGTAGACAAGCTCAGACCGGGCCCGCTCATGTATGTTGATGGATTTTGGATTTTGGCACGCTTTCTCTTTTTGATCTTTGCTTTCCTTTGTTTGTTTCCTTTTTCCTCTTAGCTATTACTCATTGCTGCGGGTTTTGAACTTGGTTGAACGGGATGATAGATTGGTAGAGCTGATTTGGATCATTGGGACTCAAAAAAGGTCATGCAGTGGAGATGCTGTTGCGGCAAGCTCCAAGGGGATAGGACAGCAATGATATTCTCAATTTGATTTTCTCTACCTTTTTCGCAGCTACTAAAATTCATATATTCTATGACGATTAGGCTTCTAATCTTATACTCGTATGTCATCTCCGTCCAAGGGAAGTTGAGAAGCATTTCGTTGAGTGATGTGGGAGACTGGATTGATAGTGTAGTGTAAGACATGTCAATTCCATGAACGGTTAGACACTTTGGCCGAGTGGTTAAGGCGATGCCCTGCTATCAATAGGTATCATAGGCATTGTGTTCGCACGCGCAGGTTCGAATCCTGCAGGTGTCGTTTCATTTTTGCATTTTTTCGCTCCCCTACCACCTTTTTTTTTTCTTATCCCAAATCTTACATTGCATATATTTGACAGGGGCCGTTGAATAAATCAAACTTTTAACGCTACGGCGTAAACTTTTTTACTACTGAACTTTATATACTTTGGCGAGATATTGACTTCGGAGCGCTAATCTGCTCACGATGTTTACATCAGAGTATAGCTTCATGAGGGGTCTATCTTCCACGTGTTTTCATCTGAAGAAGCGTCATTGGTCTAGGGGTTAGGATTCAACTCTTCCATTACTCGAAAAGTTGAGGCCCGGATTCGAGTTCCGGATGACGCATTCCTTTTGCTTTTTGGATTTTATCCCTTTTTTTTGCACCCTTTACGAGGATAAATCCAGTCTTTGGCGTATATTGCCGAGTTTAACCTAGGAGTGCAGGTGTTGTCGCCCACCACCAGGTCAACTATAGTAATTCGGTTCGTCTTCTCGGTGACGCTTTCTACAATATTTCACAACATGCAAGACGTTTAAGATATCAAGTATCGTTTGAGCAAGATATATTCTGGTTTTTGCTTTTAGGTTGCCCTAACTATCGAGCCTGTATTAGATATTTTAATTTGTATGCATGTGTTTCTTTCTATATGCTGCATGATTCCTCCTCTACCAGGAGCTCTTCACTCATCCGCCTCCCCTGGCAATTCCTCATAGACAAATCCACAGTCCACCTCGTTAAGCACCAGCTCCGCCCTGGATCGAACAAGATCTTCCCGGTCGCCTTCCGCCAGGTGTTCTATATCCAGATCTCGCGCCGTGTTTACAACGTGCAAGCATCGCAGTCGGGCATCTGGTTCTCCGGGGTCTCGAAGCTTCCGCACAGAGCGGCCGAACTGGCCACGACTTGCTTCGATGCTCTGTCTCTGGTTTCTCTCGAAATAGCTGAGTAAATGGCCTGCGGGGTCTTCATTCAGGTGTGCTTCTCGCCGGAAGAGACCCGTTGAGGCATATTCTGGCCCTTGTACGGCGCCAATAGTAGGATTAGGATTGATGACAATCTGCTTCGTGTCGAGATAGGTTCGCTGCACCAGGTCGGCGATATGCATGTCATCGTCATCATTAATATTGTTTGGGTGGTCTGGATCTCGGTATGGAGGTTCTGGTTCTGGATGTGGTATAAAGGGGGTTGGTCGTCGAAGTGGCCGGTCCACGCCTGGGAGCGTTATGAAGTGTGCCTCTGGCTCGTCTTCCTTGTCTATAGAAAACAGAAACACCCGGCCAGTCGCATCTCCAACGACCATTTTCCGGAAATCGGGAGAAAACGCACCGCAGGAAACGGGCCCAGGTGCTTCCAATATGGTTCGTACATATGGCTTGTGTTTCCTGCGCAAATTCCACACCATAACGGTCCCATCGCTGGCGCCTGTGTAGAATCGATCTAGGTTGTTCCCCCAAGCTGTAAATTTGACTCCAGTGTCTTCTTTCTCCCGGTCATGGTAGTATTCGTCCAGAGGTCGCCCATGCTGTAAAATATGCACGGGCTTGTCTCCTTGCGCCGTGTCCCATACATACACCTTGCCGTCTGTACACCCTGCCGTCACATACGCATGCTTGAATGAGTTTGGCATAAAGGTCAGCTCATTGATATCTGACGCAAAACAGTCAAGGTTATGGTATTCGGAAAATCCCCCCTCTTTTCCGCCTTCTTGCTTGGAAACGAGACCATCTTGCTTGGAAAAAGGGCCCTCTTGCATTCCAAATAAATGGATCTGAGTTCGCACCCCGGGTGTTACCTTCAACTGAGAAGGGGAGGTTGCAGCAATGAATCTCGGTAATGTTGGGTGCCAGGCCACTTCGAAGAAATTGGCAGTTGTGGCAGTTGTCATAGGAACTCGTTGGTTCAGTGCTGCGTTCCAAACAGTAATCTCTCCCGAGCTATGCTTATCTTCAGGAATATCGTGGTCTTCCCCGGAGAAGCTACGAGGAGAGTATCCAACGGCCAGTAGATGCTGGCTTTTCGGATCACGACCCCACTGCATTGTTGCAGGGTAATACGCCCATTTGTCAGAGCCGTCGGCGTCGGTTCGAGTACATGAAAAGGAGACATAGGAGCTATTCGCAATGTCGTTCATGTTGACTGTGTATATCCGAATGGCCTCTGTGGGGACATCAGCCGCAGTAGCAACTCGCCCAGAGCCGTCCTTGGCCGCGGCGACAAAATTTACGTTGCCGCCAAAGCACCAGGTGGCCAACGCAGTCATGGTGCTACCGGACTTGTCAACCTTCCACACCTTGACAGTTTTGTCGAAACTAGACGTATATGCTAAACCAAGCACGCTGTCGTAGTCAGAGCATACAACTGACGAGTACAGCCATGGATCCTGGCTTTGGCGCATGGCTGTCGTCGAGTTTTCTCCCTTTTCGACGAGGGGCCGTGGGATTCGGTGATCAGGAAATGCCTTGAGCTGCCCCAGCTTTGTCGAGCAAAGAAGTAGATTTCCAGGCTTATTATACTGCTGATTATGGCTATCCGAGTGTACAGTCGTGCCGCACAAAACGTTGTTATCCGGGATCCAAGTTGTCGTCGCAATGTCTCCGGCACAGTTTGTATACTCCGCAACCAAGACCAAGCTATCTTCGTGAGCCTTGCTAAACTCATTTTGAAAGTTTTCATATTGCCGCATTTTACTAAATCCTCGGTTTCCTTCCATTTCACGAGCTAGAAGCAAGGATGCTACCCGACTGGCACGTCTCTTCTCCTGTTGTGGGCGGAATCCATGCGCTCTAGGATCGAGACTCAGGATCTGAGCTCGGCTTGGCGGTACCGCTGTGCCTGCAAGTAGATCCGAGCAATAATTGCGTACATCTTCAACTGTCCGGTAAGGCAAACTGGCATTAACAATTGACGGAACATTGAATTGAAGGCAGAGCCGCGCCAAATATTCAGGGGTTGCTGGATAATCCACGGGGAGATACATTGAGAAGCATGCCACGATTTGTCGGATTTCATCAGATGTGAAATCTACGTGGTAAACAACTGGGCAATTCAGCTCCTCTTTAAGCTCGCGGTATAAGCGGCCAGTACCTTTGGCAATAAGTTCGCGGTCTGATGCTGATTGGTAGGGCCGGTGTTCGAGGCCGAACCATGCATTTGAGGATGCGCCGCACTTGGCAGGCGGCTTCCACCGGCTCCCATGTCTTGTACTCGAAGTATTCTCACATCTTTTGAGAGTTGAGATTCCCAACTGTGTAGCATCCGCCTTTTTTATTTCTGACGGACTCTGTTCGTAATTGGCAAGAGGCTGCTCCTTCGGTAAGGCTATCTCATAGTCGATTGTAGCTGGCGCTTTTACAGGGACAACACGGTATTCCTTGGCCATCATGTCAGTTTAATCCAATCTAATTGCAGCGTTCTTGTTCCACTTACAGGTCTCTGAGATAGCTCTTGAATAATCGTTGTAGCCTTTGCAGCAGTCCACTCATCGTCGACAGGCAGTTTGTAGTCGTTACTTTCGTCTAATCGGGAGACAAACAGCGGATCCTTTGCAAACATGGAAACAGCCTGTATCCATTGTCAATTGCACGCTCAAGACAGTCCATTCCGTGAAATAATGCATACTCTTATCGCAATTTCATCAATTATATACTCGGAAGCCGGGAGGTCTCTCAGAGCTCGGCTCACGTAGGGAGAGACCTGTTTCCCAGCCCAGCCAAGGTCGACGCGCCTCCTCTTGGCTGGCGGCCCTTCATCCTGAGGAGGGTCATGCTGTCGGTACTGCGTCTGGAGGGGAGGAAGATGCTGTTGTTCGATTCCGTTTCCATTTGCGATTGCGATATGGTTCGATGGTGGTGGTGGTGGTGGCGATGGCGTCTCAGTCAGGTCAATGACCAGGGGCCTGGAAGGGGGAGAGGTAAGCACGAGGCTCATAGAGACGGCCAGCTCGCCAATAGCCCCGGGCGAGCATCTCAAGCTGGCGGTCAAATGGATATTCGGATTATGCAGACGCGATTCAGGATATCACTTACCCCATCGCGTGCCCACACGTTCAAGCTGCCTAGTATCCTTATTAAACAAGGAATACGTAAGGATGCGCTCCAAAATCAGGCCTAAGGTGAAACTAATAAGGCTGTGTCACGTGATTTTGCTTTAACTTATATAAACATTACTAATATTTCATACCAGCTTACTATAAGACTTATGAAAACATTTAATGACTTTTTTTAATTTAAAGCAGAAAATATTGAGATATTAGTGTCTTTTAGTTAACTAAAATATACTATTTCCTCTTTATACTATAGGTTAGTTGTTTAATATACTCGTATATAATCATTCGCTAAGTTAACACTGCCAGGTCCGTCCCATTAGACTTCAATCCTTTTTGAGCTGTTTATCGAATTGTTTAATTGATTTCCAGCAGACTTTGCAATATAACCTGGCGCGCCTCTGATTAAGGCGCGTTCTTATTATTGTTGCGCTGTAAACAAATGCGCGAACGCTAAACTCTTGCTCGTTGGTTCTAATGCGGTAATAGGCTAGCATGCTTTAATTTTGCTACTCGGCTAAATAATAATCTTCTGATACAATCATTAGATTGAAATGTAGCAACTAGACGTTTTTATGTCCAGCCAATCCCAAAAGTAACACTTATGTTAAGGACAGCCTGGTTCCGTCGATAGAGCTTAGTCTGCGGTTACCGTTTGCGATCGCGACACGCAAGATAAGCCCGTCGGAGTTTGATCCGGCGCAATCGATAAAAAGCACCAGCGTCAATTACACACACTATGTACTGTTTATCTACCCTAATCATTTTGATATTTTATTTATTTCGATCGATACTTACTTAGGTGCATGACAACATCCGAACACGGGTTATGCCGTGGTTGCAATTCCCCGCTACGTGCGGTCGATTAATTAGGAAGAAACGTCAGATATTACAATAAACCTTGAGGGGAAAGCTTCGGTTTACTTGTACCTTGGGGATATTGAAGCATCAGTACATGGGCAGGGAGCAAGAAAGCGCAAGTTCGAAATGTGCATTCAAGAGGCAAGCTCAAGGGCGCAGACTACCTAGTAGTATAACACAAGAGGAAGATAGCAGCACATCCAGATATATAACCCATAAATAGTATTGTTCTATTAAATAGAACACATTGCATTTACATTTAACAACATTTTATCATTTTCTTAAAATATTATATAGCTAGAATATTCATATTACGTAATGTTACATGGGTTTATTTCCTATCACTTATGCAAATTACAATATTGTGTTTTGTCTAGGTTAGGCTGTGGAGGGGCTCTGGGCCCATATTGCTGCATCAGTCCAGCATCAATGCGAGAATGCGCTCCTGTAAGACCTGCAGGTGCATGAAGTATGAGTACCTGTGTGCTGGCATTCTTGATGGGTCTCGATATAATTATCTTGTGAGTCTCATTCCTTGGATAGCAGTAGACATGGCTCCAACAGCTTGGTCTTTCAGCTCCAGCTGAATCGCCGAAACCCCAAACAACACACAAACAGGTCCAACAGGTATCAGGAGAAAGAAAGGACACTCCCTTATTAAGCTATCTTTGATCCCCTTGTATATTTTATATTCGTAAATCTTTCGCACTGACAGGTGCATTGCCCCAAAAAGGAAACTTGCCGCCTTGCTTTACTGCAATACACACTCCACTTTCTTACCGCCCACGGCTATTAGCTAACCATAACTGATAACTAACGGATTATCCAAACATTAAAACCCAGAAAAATTCGCTCAACGTCATGCCCGTTCATTTACATCTCGCAGTCTATTCTTACAACTTGGCAGGGCCAGTCTCGTTGGCAATCTCCTCGTACATCTTGTCGATCTGGGCACGGAAGGCCTTGGCAGTTTGAGGCCGCTTCAGCTTAAGACTGTTGTCACGTTAGCGGCTGATGTTTGTGGTTGATTGCGTTTGCGTTTGCGTTTGCATTTGTACTTACGTGGGTGTGAAAAGCTCGTTCTGGATGCTAAAGGGCTCAATGTCAAGATAGACAGCGCGAACCCGCTCAAAACTGTTGAACTTTTGCTTCTGCGCAATCTTGTTGAGCACCTTGAGGAACTCTTGCCTAACCTTGGGGTGGTTGGCAGCGGCCTTGAGGGCGGGGATGTCAGCGGACGTGATGGTCTCGCCGAGAACCTTGCTGGCGAAGGGTGGGAAGTTCTCCAGGTCGATTCCAAAGATACCGACGAGTGTGGACTCCTTGGGGTCGCCGTGAACATACGCCATGGCGATCAGGTTGGTGTTGCCCAAGTACACGTTCTCGATACGCTCAGGAGAGATGTATTCACCCTGGGACAGCTTGAGAACGTTCTTCTTGCGGTCGATAATCTTGAAGCGACCCATCTTGTCAACCTCAGCAATATCACCGGTGTGGAACCATCCATCGGACTCGATAGCCTTCTTGGTCTCCTCCTCGTTCTTGTAGTACTCGCGGAAAATGCATGGGCCTCGGAGAAGAAGCTCACCGCGGGGATTGGGCTTGTCGTCGACGGTGTACTCAAACTCGGGCACAGACTCCAAACAGACCTCAATGCAGCCAGTTGGGGGTCCAATGTTGCCGAGACTGAAGTCGCCTGGGATCTGGACGGTACCTACGGCGTATGATTCGGTCATGCCAAAGCCCTGGTAAAAGTTGTTACCAAAAGCAGCGCGGAGGAACTCTTGAACATCAGGATCTAGCTGTGCGCTGCCGCTGATCATGCTATGAGCTCTATCCAGGCCCACGGCGGCCCTGACCTTGGGGGTCCAGATGCGGTCATAGAGGAAATGCGTGTTGCTCGCCTGGCCAAATGGCAGACGCATATTGGCCTTCTTGGTGTTGATGACCTGACGAGACAGGGCTCCCCTGGCACCCTCGGCCTCGATTGTGGCGGTTCGGATCGCTGAGTTGAAGCGGTTGAACAACCGGGGCACGGACATGAAACCGGTGGGCTTGAGAATCTTCATGTCGTCGACTAGGCCTAGGATATCGCCACGGAAGAAACCAATACTAGCACCTTCGGACAGGGCAACTTGATCAATCATTCTACCGTAGATGTGAGCAAGAGGCAAGTAGGACATGTGAACGTCCTTGTCGCTCACGGTACCTTGCAGGCGACTGGAGGAGATGGCAGAAACGGCATTGCCATGAGTGATGACAACACCCTTGGGGTTACCGGTGGTTCCCGAAGTGTAGTTGATTGTGCAGAGATCGTCCCATTTGGCCGGGCGCATGGGGCGGCCTGACTTGGCGCCAATCTCCTCAACCTCCTTGAAGGAGTAGATCTTGATGCCGTGCTGAGAGGCAATGTCGTTCAAGACAGCACCCTTGGTCATACCCTTTTGCTCGCCTTGCTCCAGGTCGTCGAGCGAGACGATCAGCTTGAGGGTTGGAACCCGAGGAGCAATCTTCAAGAGGGTTGGGATATGAGGCAGAGAGCAGATTACGCAGGCGAGTTCGGCGTGGTTGATTATGTACTCGGAAGTATCTGGGCCGAGAGTATCATATAGCGATACAGTGAAGAGAGCCTGCGACGCAATAGCAAGATCTACATATCAGATACGAGATTGTGTTAGTTGGCGGTCTGCAGTCAAGGTTGGACATTGGAGAGCGCGGGAATCGCGCAAGTGCTGGCATACCGGTGATTTGCCATTCGGCGCGGTTCTGGGACCAAAGTCCAACGGGATACTTGTCCAGGGTGTGGCCAATGCTCTTGTGAATTTCGACGAGACCGGCTCCCAGATTCTTGCGACGCTCGGCCACCTCAGCATACGTCTCCCACTCATATGTGTCTGCCCACGATTGCGTGCTGGGGTTCCAGTGGCGGGTGCCGAGGCAGCGCTTGCCGGGGCGCTTCTTGACGGCATTTTCGAACAGATCGTGGACCGATTGGATGTCGGGGTTGAACGTGGTCAGGAGCGGGCCATCGCCAATCCTGTGATGGCGGTAGATGGCGGAGCGGCCAGGCCGTTCTGAGCCTGCGATGGGAACACCGTGAGGGGCCCCAGGCGCAGGCGGAGTTGTCAAGCTCTTGATGTAGGCTGCCGTGTCCTTGGTAGCCATTGTGTCGAAAGGGGATGGACTAGTGGCTGACCGCGTGTTGATATTTTTACTCTTTCAAGGGAAGGGTCTGCAATGCTCGTGATGCATACGAGAATTGACCAGACAAAGGGAAAGAGAGAAGGGATAGGCGACGTGCTAGCCTGGGGAGAAAGAAGATGGGCGGAGGACGGTTGCAAAGGAAGGAAGAAAAGAAGAAATCTGGCGATGAGGTCGGGAGGCGGAGGTTTAACGAAAGTCATGGGCTGCTGAAAGGGACGGCCGAGGTTCGCCGGGCCTCGGCAGCCCCAGATTTGGGGATTTGGGCCAGCGAAAAATGCTTGGCCCAAACCGCCAAATCGCAGAGGCCGTACAGGTACATGCGCGTTGCTAGTGCTGGGTCGGAGTGCCCAAACCGCTAGCAGCCAGCCCCCAGCGGAGCCCACTGAGGCGTCCCACCCGCGGAGTTACAGCGGGCTCTCCTCCGTGGATAGCGCTCTGGCACTGCTGTGACGGGCTCGGAAAAGCTTCAATGCGCCTATCCGGGTGGTACTTGTACATGTATGCCTGCGGTTGATGGAAATCAACATAGGTTCTCACAGTGGCCGGTTAACCGCTGCCTGTCAGCATCTGCGCGTTATCAATGGGAATGGAAAGGATTGATGGATCAATGAGTTTAGTGGCTTGTTGATACAGGGGATGCAGATTGCAGTCTGCGTGTTGTTGAGTGGCCTTAAGGGCGAAATAGACAAGAGCTGACGCGCTGCACCCATGCATCCATGTGCTGTAAATGTACCTAAATAGAGGCCCAGAGCACAATATAGGTATGTACTGGTACGGCATTGACTATTTTTCTTCAATGGGTAATAGCAAGGTTATCCTAGCTGTAGGTTACATGTGCATGTGGTGACAACCCAAGGACCGGTCTTCTTCACGTTGCGGATTCTACTGTACTAAAACGTCCCTCATATGGCTGTCGAACAAAAGCAACATTGAAGCCGAAGCGCATTGAAAGGCGACAACTAAATATTGACGGCATCCTCAAGATTTCACAGCTGCTTACCTGTGCTGTACTGCAACACCGTCAAGGCAGGTAAGCACGCATCGTCCATCGTGACCAAAACGAGCGTACGAGTACGAGTACAAACTCCGTAGCACAAGAGTTGAAAAGTCCGGGATCCCGTAGTGACGTCCGGCTGTTTCGGGGAATAACAACCACTCAATGGCGACCCTTGTGCTCCCGACGCAGGCGAGCCGGCTGCCATTCTGTCTCTCCGTCCTCCTGGATAACCCGTGCTTTGATCGTCTCTGGTTTCAGCTGAATATTCAATTCTACTTGGACTGAATCAAATACGAGTACTATTATTCGGCTCTTCCACGCAGCGGAATCCGGGGCATCTGGGGGAAAGACTCGCAGCTTTGGCTTGGCTCATCCGCTAAAGCACGGCAGTGGGCCTCGGCCCAGGGCACGCTCCCAGCGCCACGGCCAATCACGTCGCCGCTATTGCGTCTGGCATCTCGTTTCGGCATGTGAAACTTGGGCTCAGAAGGAAAAAAGACTCGCGGACGGGTTTCTGCAAAGGGTTACTCGCCCGGATGAGTTGCGGCCTCGATTCTGGGCTTGAAACGTGTCCTATTACGGAGTAGTGCCGCTGGCTATTGGATGTTCGCTGCTTCTCCGCTCCCTCATTTCCCCGCGTTGTTGCGCAGACCTGAGAGCCGAGGCCATCGAATTACACTGCTTTGCTTATTAAGCATTTGATACTCTGGAGTTAGAGATGAGATGTATGGACGACAAGCTGAGACTACACTGGCTTTTGATACGCCTTATGTAGCATGAAAACCTTTGATGTTCTTATTGAATGGATTGCTTCATCGTGATAACTTGTACCATAGAGCGGCCAAAGAGAATCCCAGCTGCATATTGGCTAGTTGCTGTACTCATTGAAACATGCCCATTTTGTGATGCCATAGAAACCAGAGCTACAATAATTTACTGTGAAATAATTAAACAGGCGCTACCACTGGCTTTTATATTTCGTCAAGTTCCTACCATTGCCTGTTTTAAAGCATGCTACTCATATACTGCTATGAATGATATGTGCGCACGCTTGGTGAGATTTGTGCTGTACCTCTCCCACTTTTTACACAGCCATCTCGATCCGAGACTTCATCACGATGCATCTTCGACTCAAGGTATCAAAACTGTCACACAAGATGCTTATAATGCCTACTCCGGCTCGAACAATCAAGATACGTTCATCATTTGCCTCATGCGTATGTCCTCATTCCGCCCTAAGCAGGCCACCAACCCGCCCTTTTTTCGCCTCCCTTCAGCCAGTAATTCAACATGTCTCAGACATACCGCAGACGCGTATTCGTATGCAACCTCGTGCTAGCACTCGACAGACTCAGTGCTAATAACCAATGAATTCCTACGACATTTTCTTCTTGGCAAAGTCCTGCTTCGCGACTCTCCTCATTCTTCAATTTCTTCGCATATCGTTCTTTGCCATGTCGCAAACTCTCATTATCTGGTTTCGGGCCGTTCAGGGCCTCATGGCTGCTGCTAGCATTGCTCTGGCAGCATATGGTAAGCTTCCCACGAGCGATTTGCTTTCTCCAATACTTGTTGGCTCACTCATAGTCCATCGCAGTGGTAAATTGGCATCTTAGGGGCTCCCATCTTTCAACGCCGCCCTCCATCAACTTTCTCCTCTTCTGCCCAATCTTCACAGTCTCTTCCATCCTATACCTCGAATTCACGCCGCGTTTCGCCCCGAAAGCCGTTCACCCAATGGTATCCCTGATCATCGAGGCCATCAACTGCATCTTCTACTTTGCGGGTTTCATTGCCGTGGCTGTCTGCCTGGGTGATCTAGCCTTCTGTGACGGCTCCGTCTGCATGGCAGGCCGTGGCACTGCAGTTCTTGCAGCGGCACAGTTCAGCTTGTGGATGGGCTCTGCCATTATTGCGGCAAAGGCCATTTTCAAGGATGGGAGGCAGATGAAGCTGCTCAGCAGGAGCCGAAGCGCCCGAGATTTGGAGATTTGAGGGCATTCGGATAGGGTATGGAAAACATACATATATCAAGAGTGTATTGATGGATGGGAAGAGCGCTGCAACCAACCGGGCTGCAGAAGGAGTGTATCTGGACGGTGGCTTATCGGGCACATTGATCTTATGATTAGCACGGTTTATGACTAGAGACATGACATGTAGCGAGCGTGTTTGGTAGCTGCTGTGGCATTATTGTTGAGATAGGTTAGGTACTTGTAGTTAGTTTACACAGTTGAAGCCGTTCGTCTTTCTGCTTGTACTTGGTAATCACATCTGTGATATTTCCTCGCGTTGTGGACGAGGAGCAACGCCGCCATCGTCGAGATGCTCGCGGCTATTTGTAGCAATTAGCAAAGGGCCAACATGTTTAATAATCGAAAGAGAGAGAACAAGGATGAGTGAAGAGAAAGTAGTGGGAATCAGAGAGGTTGATAAGGGCATATATCGTTATGGATAGTTAAAAATTACTCAGCAACCCACCGCAATAGTCTTGTCTATAGTCTAGATAATATGCGTCCAGCTAGGCCGCCGATTTGCTAATCACATCATGCAGCGATCCGCAGATCACATCAATCGCACTGCTCGTATGCCCGTATCCTCAATCCCGCGAGTCCCCAGTCACACCAACGCTGCTTTCGGCACGGCCAGTTGCCAGCTCTCGCTTAGTTTCCTGTTTCGCTGAAAGAGGCAATCGGAACCATTTCCATGCAATTTTCGGCCGCTCTGGCTCATTGGCTGGCTGCAAGCCGGGAGATTCAAACATGGTGCTTGGCGGGCTGCAAATGCGGCTAGTCAGAGGAACTCGAGACATCCAACTTGGGCAATGCTGTAACACGAGCAGTGCCGTGAATATGCGGGCAAAGCTGTTTCGTACACGGCAAGGGAAAAAGCCCTCTTTGGGTAACTGGCCATGGTCAGATCATGGCAGCTCTTTAGCACCGCACAAAGAGATTTAGATTCTGGCGTTTTGGCTAAATCCAGGCTTTAAGAGCCGGGAATGGGCTTTTCGATGGGGCGAGGAACCGGAAAGATTTCATCAGATGTACTCCGTATAGTCCAGTGCGATACCGGCCGAGAGAGGCAACAAACCGAGAGAAAGAGAGACACTGATGAGGGGCTGGATGGGTTTTCCTTAGGTTAGGATTACATGTACGTGCAATTAATTAGTTACTACTAAGGTAGCTACCCCTCCAGAAGCCCTTTGTGTCCGTTGGTGAAATGACGCGAGAATTGGCGATTGCGTGCTCGGGACGGCTTCAAAGGACCCCCACACTCGGCCTTGTGCATCGGTCGAGCGCAACTCGCCTCAACAATTCGATCATTGTAGCAAGGATAGGACAGCAAGCAATCAGTCAAATGTCACTCCCCATGGGTCTGACGCTCTTACATCTAGCGGCTGGGCGGCTGGACCCCTAGCAACTAGACGTTTGCGCCGCATTGCTAGTGGAAGCTTGATATAAATATACAGGCACTCGACCGCGCTCTTCGTCTTGAGCCGAGTTCCTGCCCCCCCCTTCGGCCCAATCCTTCTTCCCGCGTCAGCTTTGTTTCGTTTGGAAATCACAGGCCTTCTTTCTTTCATCTCTTCTGCTTCACGTTGATCCAAAATGGCGGACAAGCTCAGCAGCAACTTTGAGACTCTCCAGCTTCACGCGGGGTAAGTTGACGTCAATCTCCAAATCCCCAATTCAACAAGCGCGGGGCAGTTTGCGCTCTGATTTGCTCCCGTTTGCGTTTTGACAGATCAGAGATGCACGGTGCTGGGTTCCTGGATCTGTCTTAAATATGAAAACCCAACAGAGAATCAAGAGAGCATGACATCACGATACTAATCTCTTCCTACTCTTGTAGACACTCTCCCGACTCGGCAACCAACGCCCGAGCCGTTCCCATCTATGCTTCCACTGTAAGAATAAACCAGCCTTCGTGAAACGACCTACAGCTGTACCAGTTCCTCGCGAGCTGACCAAGTCTTGTGATACAGAGTTTCGCCTTCAACGACTCCGCCCACGGCGCGAGACTCTTTGGCCTCAAGGAGGAGGGCAACATCTACAGCCGTATTGGAAACGTGAGTAGTACATAATTATCCCGAGCCCCCGACAAGACGACATGAAAGCTCACCAGATCTTCCGCACAGCCCACTGTCGATGTCTTCGAGAAGCGGATAGCTGCTCTCGAGGGCGGTGTTGCTGCTCTGGCCACCTCCTCTGGCCAGGCCGCTCAGTTCCTTGCTCTCACTGCCCTTGCTCAGTCTGGTGACAACATCGTGGCTACATCAAACCTCTACGGCGGCACCTACAACCAGCTCAAGGTCACCTTCAAGCGCTACGGCATCACCACCAAGTTCGTCACCGGCGACAAGCCCGAGGACATTGCTGCCGCCATCGACGACAACACCAAGGCCGTCTATGTCGAGAGCATCGGCAACCCCCGATACAACGTCCCTGACCTTGCGGCCATTGCCAAGGTTGCCCACGACAAGGGCGTTCCCCTCGTTGTAAGTGCTCATGCTACTGCGGGAGATCAAACTAAGTCATTGAAGAGCCTAAACTGACAGACAGCAAACCAGGTCGACAACACCTTTGGTGCCGGTGGATACTTTGTCCGCCCTATTGAGCACGGCGCCGACATCGTCGTTCACTCAGCTACCAAGTGGATTGGTGGACACGGAACCACTATTGGAGGCGTCATCATCGACTCCGGCAAGTTTGACTGGGGCAAGAACGGCAAGCGATTCCCCCAGTTCATCGAGCCCTCCGAGGGCTACCACGGCCTCAAGTTCTGGGAGACCTTTGGCGCCGTCTCCTTCATCGTCCGCGCCCGAGTTGAGCTCTTGCGTGACATCGGTGCCTCCCTCAACCCCTTTGCCGCCCAGCAGCTCATCCTCGGTATCGAGACTCTCAGTCTCCGCGCCGAGCGCCACGCCCAGAACGCTCTGGCCTTGGCCAAATACCTGGAGAATCACTCCGCCGTCTCTTGGGTTTCTTACCCTGGTCTGGAGAGCCACGCGTACCACGAGACTGCTAAGAAGTACCTCAAGAGAGGTTTCGGAGGCGTCTTGAGCTTTGGTGTCAAGGGCGGCGGTTCCGCAGGCAGCAAGGTCGTCGATGGCTTCAAGCTGATCACCAACCTCGCCAACGTCGGTGATTCCAAGACCCTGGCCATCCAGTGAGTGTTTGAAAGCTACCCACGAACACGATTACCTAGAGACAGCTAACAGAAATCGTAGCCCCTGGACGACCACCCACGAGCAGCTGAGCGAGGAGGAGAGGGTTAGCTCGGGCGTCACCGAGGTAAGCAGGAGCATGATTGAATTTGCGCAACATAAGCTGACTCTGGTTTCCTTAGGACCTTATTCGAATCTCTGTCGGTACTGAGCACATCGACGACATCATTGCCGACTTTGATCAGTCCTTCAAGGCCGCTGGTCTCAACTAAGCATGAGGAGAATAAGTCCCTCCTCCGGCTTGTGTAAATAAACAGGCGATGATGAATGAATGAATCCACGAGTTTTGCGCGAATCAATATGGGAAAATAAAGGGATGTACAGCAAGTGGCTACTGCATTTCCCATCCAAAATGGGCGCTGCGGAAGAAGTGTGAAAAGAAAGCGATGGGTGGCTATTATCTTTTGGGACATGGGAAAGCAGGGAGTTTGTGTCAAATCCAAGGCCGAAAACAAACCATTGCGCTTCTCATTCCATCAACATTAGCGTAACGCATTTGGTCCGCATCAGGCTGTTTTCTGGTTGGCCTGCTGCGGGAGTTGAAGCTTCAGCTCAAGAGACTTGCGAGAGTTGAGAATTCTATCGTCGTTGAAAACGGTACTTGGTTATGCTTTGCTTTGCGGTCTGGCTCGTGACTTGATAGGTTTGTGTAGTTTTGTGGCGCCTGCATCGTCATCCTGCTTCTGCTTATCTAAACCCTAGAGCAGGTTTAATGAAAATAACGCATACGCCACGCAGAGTTACAATTACCAAAGGGCTCCAACACGGAAAAGGGTTCGATTGGTCTGACACGGCTGATCTTATTCGGTGTGTAATTGCCGCAGGGCATTTGTGAAGCCATGAGTGAGGCCTCCGCTTAAAAACAGCCGCTTTCAACGCTACTGGCTCTCCACGTATTATCCATACTGTCTCGGGAAGACGTATAAGTTTTTCTCGCCCGTGGCTTGTTCAAAATGACTAAACTTAATACTCGTTCAAAGTCTTAACCCTCAGCTTTCTTCAACAAGGGGCCATGATGAACAATGCTGCAAGTGACGATGCTTTAAGCGCATTCATGCCTGAAATTGACGAAGCAGCCGAGATCGAATCCGCCAGTCTTTTCGCCGAGGAAGATGAGTCGTTACAACCCCCAACTGTATTTACCACCATCCATCGGTGAGTGCATATTAAAAGAAAGAAGAAGAAGGAAAAGCCACTTGAACAAACGAGTAATTGCATTCGTATTTTTACCTTTTTCGGTTTCATTTTTCATTTTTGCTTCTCTTTGTTTATTCACCAATACAGCTCTCCTTGTAAACGGCATGCTAATTGGTCAGTACTTGATCAAGCGTGCGAGCCCTCATTATTGCCAGCATTGGTAAGTGACCACACGGGCAGATTGTATTGGCATCAATTAACGATGAAATAGAGGATCCGTACACACTTGACCAGCTGACGAGCCCACGGGTCAACACGCTCGTGGTTCGCCCATTGGTAGACAGGCTACATGACCCTGATGACATGTCCATAGGTTTGCTCGCCTAATCCCCTTTGCTCGTGCCATGCCTTTGCAACTCTCCGCGCGCCCTGGAACCATACCAATGTCTGCGTTTCTGTATCCGAGTGAAAGGCGTGTCTGCAAGAAAGTAGCAAGTCCGGATACCGTGGCTCACATGACGAGGTGTTAGTATACTGCCTCCTGGCCAACCGTCTCCAATTCCTCAAGGAGCAAACCGCCGCCGAACACCAAAGCGTCAGCCGCGCTCGCGCTACCCTCTGCGAAATCGTCGCCACTAAAGTTCTCCGCAAGTTCCATGAGGACAACTCCCCCGAAAAGGCGGGAAGTGCCGGCCTGCTCCGGCTGGCCAACGTCCTGGTGCAAGGCTTCGATCCCTTCTCGGGTGCCCCCGAAGATGTTGCCCTGGCCGGCAGATACACGCATTGGCCGGTTCAAGAGCGCGGCGGCAACGAGAGGAAGCTCACGGCTCTGGAGCTGGCCATCTTGTCGGAGAGCAAAACCTTGATGAGCTCGCCGGCATGTGTGCGAGTGGTGAATGCAGTGTACGAGGGCCGAGTTGTGTATACGCCGATATCCTTTGTGGATATTCTCCCGGATCATTACAAACACCATCCAGTGTCATTGTATGATCCGCGCAAGGCACCGCTTCTGGATCACTACAGACTAATTGTTCCAAAGTGGAGGAGCTTGCTTGAGTCAATACAGTTCATGGTGTTGCTGGTGCTGTACGTACTGACCATGGTGAGTCGAGGCAACCCAAGCTCTCTGATATTCTATGAGAGCCTGTTTGCCGTATATTCGATGGGATGGATTCTTGACGAGTTTGCGTCCATCATTGAGCATGGATGGGCGGTCCACGCTCAAAAGACGTGGTCATTCCTAGACGTAACGTTTACATTCATCTTCTGCGCCTATTTCTTCACGCGGATGTATGACGTTTGGATCCCCCTTGCTCCAGGCACAAGCGGCACAAACTCTGCGGCGTTACATATCCTGTGCGTTGCAGCTCCGGTACTGCTCACGCGAGTCGCCTTCAGCCTCATGCCGGACAACATCGTCTTCATATCGATGCACGCCATGATGAAGGACTTTATGGTGCTAACATTCCTCACTCTGTGGTGCGTGGGAGGCTTCTTCCTGGCACTGCAGTGGCTGCTGATGGCAGGACAGGGTGCAGAGCCCAAGTGGTATACGGTTGCCAAATGGCTTCTGTGGATCTGGTTCGGACTCGACGGCACAGGCATCCAAGAGTCTGTGCAGTTCCACGTCGTGCTTGGCCCAGCCCTCATCGTGGCGTTTGCATTCCTGGGCAACACGCTGTTCTTGACGATTCTGGTTGCCGTCCTCACCAACACCTTTTCGCGCATCGTGGCCGCCGAAGCCGCCGAGATTCAGTTCCGTCGAGCGGTGCTCACTTTTGAATGTGTGAGGAGCGACGCCATCTTTGCCTATCCGCCGCCGTCCAACATCCTGGCTCTCATCTTCATGCTGCCCCTGAAGCTTCTTGTCTCGGCACGTACATTTCACACCGTCCACGTCGCCATCGTTCGGGTGCTTAATTTCCCCATTCTCTTGTTAATCAGCTTGTATGAGCGCAACTTGTTTAGAGCCGGCGAATCAAATCGCGGCGCCAAGTCGAATCAGTTTCTCAGATGGCGTTTCACTGGCTTCAACCCACATGGCGACATCGAGGCTGTCTTTGAAGCAGATCCGCCGCCAGGTGCCACAGACGAGGCTGGTGAGCTGGACGGCCTAAGCGAGCTCGGATTCACCGACGATGGTATCTCCAGGTCTTCGAGAGACATTAGAAGGCCTGTGGTGTTTAGGCTAAGCAATTCGAAAAGCAGAGATGAGACACTGGAGATGCTGGGTAGAGGAGGAAGTCCCGGGGCGGAGGGGGTAGGAGCTTCTCAAGGGACCGGCGGTTTATGACATTTCAGCTATGTCTAATGATGCTGAAAATGAATAAATAAATAATAAATATACAAGTGAATGAATGAATGCTGTAGATATTCCAGACGAGGTCCACAAGAGCTCAAGCTCAATGATGCATCGCTGTGGCGCCCAGCCAATTGCAGGCCTCGTAGCGCCTAGCTGCTCGCTGCTTTGGGGGAAACCAGCGCTACGCCACAACGTCCCGCACCAGCCACTCCGCCAATCCCACCTCAGACCTCCAACTAGGCCATCTGTTTTCCGCATCGTCATCTCTCTCTCTGTTCTACTCAAGCACGCAACTCGGCGCAATGGACTTGAGGATCCTCCTATACCTGGCATTCGCCGCCCTCAGCGCCGCCCAGCTGACGCTCACCGTCGGCCTGCCCTCCAAGCCGAACCCTTTCCTCCTGCCCCCCAGCACCCACGCCACGCTGTCCAGCCTCCACAAGCGCCTCGAGGCCCCTCTGACGACGGTCAACACCTTCAACTTCCACAACGTTACGGCCGGCTCCTACCTGCTCGACGTGCACTGCGCCACGGAAAACTTTGGCCCGCTGCGAGTCGACGTCGGCGCGGATGGCGAGGTCAAGGCCTGGGAGACGTACCGCGGCAACGAGTGGGCGAACAAGGGCGAGGAGGTGCAGGTGAAGACCGAGGGCGGGTCGAGGGGAATCAGCGTCAAGGGCGTGGGATCCAAGATTTTCTTTATTGAAAGGCCGGCGTGTAAGTCCTGATGGCTTTTGTTCTACATCCTATTTGGAGCTGGACTAACTGACTGATGTTGCTCTTCTATAGTTTCCGTGTTCAGCATCCTCAAGAACCCTATGATTCTCATGGGCCTGGTTTCGATGGGTCTTGTGTTTGGCATGCCATACTTGATGGAAAACAGTGCGTCTTTATGCCTCTCCAACCCCTTGGACCTACAAGAAAGTGGATTGTTTGTCTACGGACTAGCTGACATTGTTGCAGTGGACCCTGAGCTGCGCGCCGAGTTCGAAGAGCGACAAAAGGAGAGCCCCATGAACGCCATCATGGCAAACGCCCAAGGTGGCCAGAACCCCCTTGGCAACTTCGACATGGCGGCCTACCTGGCAGGTTCAGGCAAGAAGGAGGGTGTAAAGAGGTGAAATGGGGCATTAGCAAAAGAAACGTTGAAAAGATATGGGTTGGGAGATTGCGCATCTATGCTTTATAATCCTTTTGGTTTCAAGGCAGGGCTCTGAGGAACTTTGAAAATCTCAGGGCTTTTTTTTATCTTGTATCATCAGCTTCATATGATTGGCATTATTCCGTAACGCCGTCCTCCTAATCCTAGCCAAAACGACAATATTAAGTCTTGTCTTGTGAATAGCTAAAAGCAGACCAACCAGGCAAACAAGTAAAATTACCAACCCTAATTCTTTCCTCTAGCCATGCATCATATATGTATATATATAAATGACAACAAACATGCAGCTAGCTCACATAGTCCACTAATTAAAAGTCGCCATCGCCGCCATCATCGAATCCGTTGTCGTATCCATTGTCATATCCTTGATCTGTGTCAATATTCGTTAGTCAAATCCGTACGTTCAGCAGGTTCCACTCCAAAAGGAAGGAAATCACTCACCATAGCCCCGCTCATATCCTTCGTCTTCGAAGTGATCAATAGCACCATCTATCAAGAGACCACCCACGACACCAGCACCGAGACCGAGGGCAGCTCCTCCCGCCAAACCGAGACCACCTCCGCTCTTCTTCTGAGGCTGCTGCTGTTGATAGCCATAAGCGGGCTGGCCATAAGGAGCTGGAGGAGGAGCGCCATATCCGGGAGCATACCCGCCGCCGTAGGCACCAGGTGCTCCTCCGTAAGGAGCCTGGCCGCCATATGGGGCTGGGGGAGCGCCGTATTGCTGCTGAGGCGGTCCATAGCCCGAGTAGCCGCCAGCACCGGGGGCACCGGGGAAGCCACCGGGAGACTTACCGGCGATCTTGCTGGTCAGCTTGCCCAGAAGACCCCTCGATTCGCCCTGTTGCTGCTGCGGCTGAGGCGTACCATATGGGCTGCTCTGCGGGGGAGGGTACGGGCTGGTGCTCTGCTGGCGGTACGAGTCGGCAGCACCTCCAGAATAGTTATAGCCAGGAGGGTTAGAGCCGCCGCGGTTTCGTGCATTTTCTTCGGCCTGCAGTTTGGCCGCCAGGCGGGCATCCTCGTCTTCCTGGTTTTGCCTTGACGATGAGCCTCCAGAGTTGCTGTGATCGCCATAGGGGTTCGTCTTGGCATCGGAAGTGTGGGGAGCGTTGCGACCGTCGTAGCCAGGAGGGGGACCAGAAGGCGGGGCGTCTCCGTCAGGATAGACAGGACTGGTGGGCTTGTCCCATTGGGATTTCTTGGTGTAGATGTTTACGTAGAACCTGAGAGGGGCGAGTGAGCTGAGGAAATCACCGGTTGGAGGCGGAGAGAGTCTCTGTCGCGAAGCCAGATATCGCATTATTAATGAATGGGCGGACATACCATTCTTTGTACTGGTCGTTCCACCGGGCGGCCCAGCCGGCAGGAACTTCGGGGGCCTTGGGCGGCGGAGGCCCTGAGGGAGGAGCGTAGTCGGCCATGGGAGAGGTTTGGCTGTAGGGAGTCGAAAGGGTGATGATGGAGAGGAGGATGACAGAGCGAGAGAGGAGGGGAGTTGGTGTTAAAGAGGAGGAGGGGGGTGGTCTAGCGTATGACCCCCCTTGCTAACTGTTTTGGCGGCGACACAGACGGTGCTTCGATGGCGAAATAGACGAGCGCGGACAGGAAATCAATGTAGATTTGTTAATCGGGTATCCAGCAAAAGCCAGGCGACGGCTAATATCGATGGTTGCAATTATCCAGCTCTTCAAAGACGCCGTGCAAAGTCTCCCGCGCTTCCACGAAATCTTATATACTTGCACGACATTGCCCGTCGACCATATGCCGCCAAGCCTGCCCCAAAAGGATTCAGGTCCCCTAACGGATCCCCCGCAGCGGCCGCCAACCGCTACTGCAGTGGCCAGACTCTCGTGGAAGCCCGCTGAAATCCAATGGAAAAACGCGAGGCGCAGCAGACCACGTATGTGCATGTACATGTGGTATTACATCGACTCCAATGGGGCCACATGCATGGTTTGAAGTGCCGGCGATCCGACTGAGCTCCTCTGCGGTATCCCTGAAATGCCCCAAAGCGAGCTGGAATTTTGGAACCGAGCTGGATTCTGTGCTGGAAATTGGGCTCAGCTGCTTCAAACGACACTTGTCATGTCCGCACAAGTCCCTTAGTAGTGTTGATATCGCTATGTCATACAATCGCTGCCCTGAACCTCCATCGCAGACCACACCTGAGGCTCCTCACCTTCCCCTGCCAATCACTTCTCCAGGCGCAGATCCGGCCCCCCGCCATGCACTGCAAAACAAGGAGAAAATTATTCCTCATGCTCCGTGCAGGTGACTAAACGCACAACGCCTGTGACGAGCCTCGGCCGTGGATGCCTCTGTCAATCCGGCTCAGCCACATGGAGCCTGCACTGCCACGAATCCAGTCAGCGATTTCGTCCTCATATCGCCACATTGTGGCTCGGTGGTTTTGCGCTGTTCGAGGGGCCGTCGATTGAAATCATTTGACTTTCAGTCTTTCTACAGTAGTCTTCAGGCGTCAGAGTGGCCCTAAGAAATAAGAAACACCTCATGCATAAATTGTACCTAAATTTTTAGCCAACTCCTTTTGTATATCAAGCCTACCTAAGTAGATCTGTTTGGACAGTCTCTTGCGATCGGTACCTGGTATTAGCAGCAATTCCAAATTCCCCCGCATGCCAGTTCAGCTAATTGCTTTGGAATCTTTTCTCCGTAAACAAACGTATAGGCTTTTAAAGGTCAATTCAACGAGTGATTTGGAACAAATGAGATGGAGGAGATCGTGCCCAACTTTATATGTTTTGCTACAGATCCACCCTCAATCCAAACCTGGAAACATATAGATACGTAGTGATTATATAACACTGCCCAACCTCCATGAACCACATAACCTCAATGTCGGTAATCCAATATGCTGGTCTACGAAAGGGCATACTTGCTCCGTATTGTATGATTGTATCTAGGTTAGATCTATTATATATATTTGTTACCTCATAGATCCATAGCTTAAACAGTCGGACTTCATTTCAGTCCCAAGTCGGAATAAACCTCCTCTCCACTGGCAGCTGTCAAATCCCCTCTCATCAATCCGGTTTACATGACCAATATCAACATCTAAATAACACGATAGCATCAGTTTCCCAGCCGAGGTTGTATTCTCCCATCTTACCTCTAAATAGTAATCTTCCCGAGTCGCTGCTCGGGGCTCCCTCCGGTGACCGACGCGGGTCTCCGCATCTCCGTCAAAGGTCAACCGAACAGGAACCGACTACACGATGAATCCCGCAAACGTCAACGTGGAGATGGCCCACTCGACAGTACTAATGTGCGGAGTACGGAGTACTTGTATTGGTATTGTAAAGGTACTTTGCTTGAACGCAGACATAGAACAGAATCATGTAGACATTGGACGTATTGAACAATGGACTTTGGTTCGCCAGTAATCACCAACGTGTATTTCATTTCCACTCAGCAGATATTTCCTCAGAGCAGATCTATAAGAAGTATTTGGTGCATGTAATAAGACCACACACACATCCTGAATAACAAATCTCTAAACAAGGGGGCAGTCGTCCCCTTAATCAAGAGAGGTAGCAAAAAACATAAACGAGTAGACAAACTCGAGAGACGCCGTCTCAACAAGTCCGCTATTGAAGATTATTCCCACCGCCGTCGTTTCATCGTTCGCGTGTAAATAAGAACCCAAATCTTGAAAACATTCATTACCAATCATCGAGCCCTGTCCCAAACGCCGTCTAATGCTTAGCCGTGACCTGGTCGCCGGTCAATTTCTCCACGTAAGTTTTAGCCCTATATGACATGCATGGTCAGTAAACAGTGGTACGTAATGTGTTTAGAAAGAGCAAGTACTCACATATCTCCAACAGCAACCATGCAAATCGTCTGCCAAACGCCGAGACCAATTCGAGGAGTAACACCTCGGTAGAGACCCTTGATACCATTGTTCGCGTAAATGTAGCGGAAAGTGTTGCCGACCGTCATCTTCTTGGGTCGGTTGGGGTCGTCCTTCTTGCTCTGCATCTCGACACGGATGACCTCGATGGGCTGGTTCCAGGCACTGAGACCACCACCGAGAGCACTAGCAAGAATCTTCTCCCCGGCAGAGAGCTTGTCGCTCTGCTGCTTGCCCGTGGCCGAGCGGATCCAGCCCTCGGCCAGGCGGCTGAGACCGAAGCGAGATCCCCAGTTGGTCATCTGTCGGATGGCGACAGCATTGACACCCTTGTTGATGCCGCGGATTCCCTCCTTGCGGTAAATATCCATAAAGGTCGCAAAGGTGGACTGGGGCTTGACACCGGCGGCGGCCATCTTGTGCTGGGTGATCTCGACCGTCTTCATGCAGGTGCAGAAACCCATGGTGGCGTAGGCCTGGGCAACACCACCGGTGATACCGCCCAGAATGCCACCACCAAACTCAGAAGCACCCATATAACGAGCGTAGTACTCGGCCTCGGAGGCAACGAAGAGCAGCACTGCGCCCTTGGTGGAAGCCTCAATCCAGGCCCAGGGAATGAGACCCTGGTAGACTGTCGAGAAACAAGAAAGATTAGCCGCGTTCAGCTGAGCGCTGGATGGATTAGCCTCGGTCGGTTTGACTTACAGCCGAGAGGGCCACCTCGACCCCAGATACGACCCAAAGCCGTGGAGAAGCCATCGCCACGGTTGGCAGCCATGGTGGTCTTGACGACCTCGAGCGGCTGGCCCAGAGTGGTGACCTCGAACATGTTGAGACCGGCGCCCAGCAGCAAGTTGGAGAACTTGATGGGCTTCTTCTCCAAGTGCGGCTTCTCCGCGATGGGAGCCTCGATAGCGGCGGCGACCATGACTTCTGGATGATTTACTGTAGGGCCCTGACCAAGGGAATAGGGTGCTTCTTCGCAAGGAGCGTGAGAGATGATGGGAAAGTTTGCAGAGAGGAGGGGAGAAGGGAAGAGGGAAAAGGGGGGGTTGTTGAGGCTTTGGTACTTGTACTTCTGCTAACAGCTCCTAGAACAGAGCCGGATTGCGCGCGACAAGGCTTAGCTGGCTGACTAAGGCCAACGGGATCGGAGGGAATGCGAGGAAGACAGATAAGCGGTCTTCGGAAGGGAGGCTTGGGGGAGGTCAGCAAAGTTCGGACAGTATAGGAACTGGGCCGAGGACCGAATTGGCTGGCTGTCGACCCCATCCGTGATTGTCCGAGTGCCTGTGTCGGCACATTAAAGTACAAGTACCTAGGTACGAGGGACTGCAGGGAGAGGTTGGCCTTTACACGTGCTTTTTTGGGGGAGCAAAGTTGGGGAGAAGCTCCGATTTGCGATTTGGAGGGGCAAAAACACAGCTGCAATTGCGATTGCATGCCTGCAGCACGAATTGGACACAGCACTGCACCGTAGAGATAGCGAGTGAGACTGGCAGTGTCTCTCTGCTGTCTTGTCCTGACTTGTCCTGACTTGTCCTGTCTCATCCCGCCTATCAAGCCTCTCGTCGCATTACACGTTCTCTCCATTGGACGCGCTATGTGAGCAGGCAAGGCAGGCTGCTGCACAATCACATGTGCTTACTTGCACAGGCCCCCGGATTCGTATTGCTGCTCCCGGTTACCTGTCATCAGCAGAATCCTACTAGTAGTAGTATTACTTAGTAGTATTGATAGAAACAAATCATCCCAAAGAAAGGGGTTAAAGACAACAAAAAACTTTTTTCTTCTTCTTCCCAATCCCTCCCAATTCGACTTCCACCCTCTCTTTTTTTTGCTGAGACCTTTTCATCTACTGTACCCTCCGGTGGGTCTGGCCCGCGTGGCGCAAAGCCCGCTAGATTCGCGTTCGGCCGCCAAAAAATCTCAACATGTTTGCGATTGTTGAGCTGCGCCGTCAAAGATCCATTCTGCGCTGCGAAAGACCTGCAAACATCAATTGGTTGGTGCGTGCCCAGGACATACTTTGATGCTAGCCGCAACGCAAAATCCCCACTATCGAAGCTCCCGTCGAATACGAATAAGAGTAGCGCACAGCGGGCCGCCCATTTGCAATGCCCTGCAATTCGTTGAGCTAGAGCCAAGGTTTCAATTTTTGTTCAACAACAGGGCTGTTTTGAGCACTCTGCATGTACCTCGCAGATACCAAAAGCTGCCCGTTTCAGCGAGCAGATGGGCCCCAAGACTCATGTACCGGCATGTTGCTGGCACTAACACGGCCCTCTACCGGTTGGGTGTTTTGATCTCCGCCCTCCGCTCCCTGCACGCACGTACTCGTACAGGTGCTCCATAGATAATCGCCGACACATTCACCTGCGGCGTGGTCGTATCGAATCAACGATGCCAACTAATAAAGACATGCCTCAGTAATATCTGACATCTGACTTGTAGGACAGGGAACGGTATCAACCAATGGATGTGAATGCGAACACGGCAGTCTGGAAGCGCAATGTCATCTACTACTCCCTGCCTTGCCAGCCGCCTTACACAACTGTTATCAGTAAACCCAACATGCACGTCATACACCCCGGCCAAAGTCATCATGAGTTCATCTTGTCTCATTACTTCAGTTGGAAACTAAACAGTTCCGTATATTGTACAATTAAGCGCCGTTCTGGCCGTCGCTGTGTCATCCACAGACTGTCTATATCCTAGTCGACTATCAAGCCCGCCGAATGGGCTTCAATCCCCCAACTTTTTTTTCCCTATTGCAATGCCCTCCAAGAAAAAAGTACTCCATCTATCACACCATTTTTGTGTCTCAATGCCGTAGACGTAGCCTCTTACAGCTTCTTGACAAGCTCAGCCCACTTGTCGGTAGAGAAGGACTTGGGGCGCTCGATGGGGGCACCGACAGCACGGTCAATGATCAGCTGGGGAAGGACACCGATAGCACGGGAGACACCGAAGAGGACGGTGTAGTAGTTAGCCTCAGTAAGGCCGTAGTACTGGAGGAGGACACCAGAGTGGGCGTCAACGTTGGGGTAAGGGTTCTTGGTCTTGCCGTGCTCGGTCAGGACACCAGGGGCAATCTTGTAAACCTGGCTGACGAGCTGGAACATGGGGTCGTTGGGCATCTTCTCTGTATGGGTATTAGCATGAATTTCTTTCTCCACCGTAGCAGATACCACTTGAATTCCAACATACCTTGAGCGAAAGTGCGCTGAGCAGTGTAACGGGGGTCAGTCTTGCGGAGGACGGCGTGGCCGTAACCGGGAACAACACGGCCGGCATTGAGGGTGGACCAGAGGTAGTCGGTGATGGCCTTGTCGCTGAGGTCGTCACCAATGGCCTTCTTCATCTCGGTCAACCAGTTGAGCACCTCCTGGTTGGCAAGACCGTGCAGGGGACCGGCAAGACCGTTGAGACCAGCGGCCAGGGACAGGAAGGGGGAGGACAGAGCACTGCCAACCAGGTGAGTGGTGTGGGCGCTGACGTTACCACCCTCGTGGTCGGTGTGGATGGTCAGGTACAGACGCAGGAGCTCAACGAAGTCCTTGTTGTCACCGAATCCAAGCTGGTTGGCGAAGTTGAAGGAGTAATCCTTGTCCTTCTGGATAGGGGCGACCTTTCCGCCCTTGAAGACGTTCTGGTAGATGCGGGAAGCAATGTTGGGCAGCTTGGCAATGAGGTCCATGGAGTCCTCATAGGTGTAGTGCCAGTACTCCTTCTTGTTGATACCCTTGGCGTAGGCCTTGGCGAAGGAAGAGGTGTGCTCGAGAGCAGTGACGGCCAGAGAGAACTGGGCCATGGGGTGCAGGTCGGTAGGGCAGTGGTCGATGAGCTCCTCGACGAACTTGGGGATATCGGAGCGGGCAGCCCACTCGGCGGACAGGTCACGGACCTGCTGCTCGGTAGGGACCTCACCGGTCAGGAGGAGCCAGAAGAGACCTGTTATCACAGAGAGTTGGCGTTTAGTCTCTCAAATAAGACCGTTTGTATAACACTAACCTTCAGGGAGAGGCTCCTTGCCACCGGGAGCCTTGGGGAGGATCTCCTGGCACTCGGGGATGGTCTTTCCACGGAATCGGATACCCTCCTCGGCGTCGAGGACGGAACCCTCCCAGACGAGGGACTTGATGCCACGGGCACCGCCATAGACCTGGTCGAGGGTGACCTTGTCGACGACCTTGGAACCGTGCTCCCTGCAAAGAGAAGGAGTAACGTCAGCGCTGAGAGGACAAGCAAACGCCAGAAACAGCCGCTCTGTTGAGGCTATTGGGCTTCACTTACTTGCGGAGTGCCTTGATCTGCTCAACCTTCTCGGGGAGAAGCTCGGCGAAGCGCTCCTTCAGAGACTACACGACAAAAGGCACAGTCAGCTTCTATCCAACCTAGTTCTCCTTTCCCGTTCTTCCCGGTCCCGTCAAGCTTTGCTATTCTGACGCCTGAAGCTTCCGGGAGCACAGCAAGGCTGGAATGCTTCTCACCTGGGTCTTGGCGGAGTAGCAGCGAGCGGCGTTGAAAGCCGTGGCCCGGCCATTGAAGGCGGGGGCTCGCAATGAGGCCCTCAGGGCAGAGTTGCTGACGCGGGTGACAGAAGCCATTGTATGAATTCTTGGGTATAGAGAGAGTAGAGGCAGAAAAGAGGATACGGCGGATGGGGGGTGGCAGAGGTTATAAAAAGCGCAATGCTTCCGTTACCACGGCAGGAAAAAAAAAATTAGGCCGGCCGTTCCTAGCAGCCTCGGAGGCTCGACAAGGTGCAACTTGGCTAGGACTGGGACCCTCTGTTGACCTTAGCTCGAAACTGGATAAGCATGCAGGGCAAAAGTTACATCACCAGCTCCTCTGCAGCGCAGCACGCGCGGGTACATGTACTCGAGGGGCCGCGAAAAGTACCTCCGTGCTGCGGCCGAGAGTGCTGTGCGCGGCTGTAGCCTCTGGTCAACACGACAAGACGGACGTCTCGCTCCCCCACCATCCGGCCCTAAAATTCCCCCAACCATCTCCATCTCCCCGACAAGAGGCCAGATGGCCCGGAATCAATCTGAACCTCGGAAAAAACGCAACCAGATTGCCTAATCGAGTAGTTTCCCAGGATCTCCGGATGTACTGTACGAAGCAGAATCACCTACAAAGAGAGACATTCTTGTCCCTCGGCGCCAACTACTACGAGAACAGTTTCTAGAGAAGCTCCCAACATGATGTGTGAATACCTACTAGGTAATTTATAGATTTGAGGCGGTCAGCCTCCCTCTACAACTCATTGGCCACTGGTAGCGAGTGAAGTGACGAGATAGTGACGGTCTGCGTGCAGCTGAAGGGCATCGAATTATGACACGAGTGTTAGCAGCCATGCGGGTAGATAAACCGCAAGCCGAACTGTAATTGGCGGGGAGTCTCTTCCAACCACAGCATCCGCAGAGCTGTTCATATTTGCTCTCACTCACGCGCCTTGCGATGGAACCGTTTCATCTTGTTTCGAGACGAGGCAATTCGCCGCAAACGAATAGCCGTGTAAGTTGGCTCTCCATTCTGCCGGAAGGGCCAAGATGTCATGTGATGGACAAGCCGCTCCGGCCTGCCGACAGAATCCTTTTCCCCGTACGGCGTAGAGCAGAATTACCTAGGTAGCCTCTCCAACTCTCCAAATGTCATGACATAAGTGCGTCATCGTCATCGCCAGGCTAGATGCATCGTGAGCAGCATGGACAAAGAAAACACCACGTCCACAGCTCTTCTCTTTCTTTCAGCACAAGTAGTCAATCCGCACAACGGATAAACTTCGCTTCGCTTGCTGCACGTTTCCAGAAAGGAAAAATTTTGCGTTGCGCAAAAAGCAAACATTTCTGGGTACGTACCACTTGGGCCCTGACTTGGGAAAAAAACGAAATGTACTTATATCTCTATCGTTATATACTTGATCTAGTACCTATTTAGTTTGAGATTTTAAGTACTTTTCTTAGTAATGGATGTACCGGCTACATTGGATGAGGACCCAGATCA